TGGCTTTTAATTTTTTTTATTTTTTTAGCTGCATAATGCTTCAGTGGTGCTTGGATGAATCAAGAATGTGTTGTATATAAATATATGACCTATATATGATAATTGAGCAAGTTAAGGAATTTACCCATGGCTGAATAGCTTTAGATTCACGGGGTAGCTTTGCAAAAGACTCCAAATTATGTGCCAAGAAGATTGTTTTAGTTTCTCTAGTTGTGGGCTTTCTTCATATCGGAGAAAATTTTGGTGGTGACTAATGTATTCATTCATACTATATATTTGTGTTATTATTATTGGTCTTTGAGTTTATCTTTTATGATCTGTTGCTTGAGGAATGGAGCTGAATAAAGAAATGGACAAAACAAACATCACTTTAAGAGCTGTTGAGTCTTGGGCGCGTTGGATTCTTATATTTTTATGTTTTTTTGACTAATCTTTTTTCACAGAAATGTAACATTCCTGCTACCTCATCTTTGTGCCCATTTTGCAGGAAATGTGTGAAGTGTACAGAACTACAGACGCCCGCACAAATAGGGATGTTTTACGAAATTAATCAAAATAATACGAAATATACCATCAACCAAACATGTTAGGATACATTTCCACAGTATTCTTCAAAAATAGTTTAAACACATTCAAGTGATGGAATTATGCCAAAAATTTAAGTTTCCCTTTACTGACCGGAAATGTTTTCTATTTCATGAAATCACATTCAAGTGTTATAATTTCTTCTGGTTTTCAAATGTAGGAAACAGAAAACATGTTTAACTATTTCCAAAAAAAAGTTCCAAGATTTAAAAAAATACGGAGTATAAAACAGTTCCAAACGGCCACTTTATCTACCCCTGTTAGCCACTCATTAGTTACGGACATTACTGTAAACAAGTAGCCACCAGAACCCACTTATTGAGGAACAATATAACTAATAGTGATCACCACTATTTTCGTCAACCATAGTTTGTTGATGGTTGACGAAAAACATCAACCATTCTCACCAACTACCTTAGTTTAAAAAAGGCGCGAGGCGCACAGGGGCGACATGTTTGTCGCATTTAACTCACCCAGGCGGCTCAGGTTCCTAGAGGCGTGCGCTTTTCACGCTTTTTAGCGCCTTTTGCGCTACTCAGAGGCGAGCGCTTTTCACGCCTCAGGGAAGCCGATGAAATTCTCTGCCGATTCCAATTCCATTTTTTTTGGCGATTCAGATCTCCTTCCAGAAATTTCATAGGTGGTCTTATAAATTGGTAAGGTAAGGTAAATAAATTAGGTTTGTTTAGTCCTTTCCGTTTCCGTTGTATCTCCCGTTTGAAGCTTACGACTTTTTTTCGCTACTAGTGTCTCGCGTCTCAGAGGTAGTAAACGAGTCTATTTACTTTTTTTCTGCTGCTATTTATTCTCTTTTATTTTAAGTTGTTATATTTATAAAAATATTAAATTATTTAAATAAAAAATTAGATAACTGATACATACGTAGTATTATCTTTCGCTATTTATTAGTGTTGATAGATAACTGAAAAAAAAGTTCAAGACTTTTAAGTTTGTAAGTTTTTTAAGTATTTTAAGTTTTTAAATTTATAAAATTATTTAAATTATTTAAATTTACAAATCTGTCCGTAATTAATTTTACAGATTTGAATTTGTGTGATAGTTTATTGATTAAATGTGTATTATTTTATAGTTTATTAGTTTATTACATATTACTATATCATAATACTATATAATAATATTGTAGTGTTAGAACACTGGTTTATTAACAATTTTTTAACAATTGTATATTGCTTTACACTGGTATATTCAAGCATGTTATACACTGGCAGAGTATCAGACTTATTAACAATATACAATTTGGAATCAGACTATATTGTAGTTTTAACAAATTTTTATATAACAGTTTAATAGTTTATTACATTAATTGTTTGAATTACTATTAACAGATATAACAATTTATCACAAAATGACTATTAATTGTTTTATATATGAGGCTTATAATCAAATTGTATAATTCTTACAATTTTACTTTAATATCAAGTTTGTTAGTTCTTACTGTATTACTTCAACAATCCACAATGCATAGTTTTTGTGATTATTTCATTCAATATTAGGGTTTTGTGACTTGACTTTTGGCAATTATGCCTTTAAACATATGTTTCTTGCTTCTGTCGTATTGTCTTTAATATATATTTTGTTTCTCTGATGATGTTTATTAAGATTGTTTAATAGTTTGATTTTTGAGAAGAGTGCTTCATGTAGAAGTACTAAAAATATATTTCACCAAAAAAAATGTGCCTGAGATCCATGAGGCGCGCGCCTCACCGCCTAGCGCCTCACGCCTCGGGTAAATTGATGAAAGCGCCTCAAGCCGCCTCGTGCCTTTTAAAACCAAGCCAACTACCACCAACACCGTCAATCCCTACCGTTGTCATCGGCTGCCATACATGAACACCATTACTACCATAAAGCGGAAACAAGAGGAGTACAAATGAAGAATAAAAGTAACTGGACTCGGGGTGGACATAAGGGGAGGCTGGTAGGGACCTCGGCCCTTCCAAGAAAAAAATTCTGATGTATTTAAGTATGTATAAATATATATATATATATATATATATATATATATATATATATATATATATATATATATATATATATATATATATTAGCAGTAAAAAATATAGTGAAATTTTAAACTTTGGCCTCCCCAATATGAGTTCCTTCAGGGCTGTTTAATGAATTTCGAGGTTCTGGTTCAAAATGTAAAAACGGGACCCCACATTAATATACTTTTTTTTTTAAATCTTAATCTAAATACTTATACTCAAATCAATTGAATGCTGATTAAAAGAGAACTGAAAGAGTAAAAGGACAAAAAAAATGATGGATTTATATTTTTCTTCCTTACTAGGTAACTATATTTTACTGATTAGAATTAATATATAATATTACAATATAATATTAATAAATTTTTAAAAAATTTGGGGCCCATATATTTTGGGGACTCTGTTCTGAATATAACCTATTGAATCCCCAAAAACGTTAAGTTCCTTAAGCCCCGACCCCCCCCCCCCCCAACTGACCATTTCTAGCTCCGCCACTGACTGGACTTAACAAATTCTAAGATGGTAAGACATTCTTTGAATCAAACAACCTATATATCATAGTAAATCTAACTAAGTATCTAAGTGTGCGAGCCACCTAACAGAAATATAGATGTTGAGGATCGAGTTTCGTAATATTTACAAGATGTGCATTTAATCTCGGAAGAGTTGGGTAATGGTCAAACCATTCTTAGAAATCCTTTACATAATTAAATACTCAAAACATTTTAAATAATCGTTTACATAGGGGGCGTTTGCTAAACGTCGTTTCAGCTGAAAAATGACGGTTTGATCATTTTTAGCGTTTTCAATAAGTAAAATCGTTGTTTGTTAAATAGCTGTTCGACACCAACGTTTTTGGATGAAAACGCCAAAATGAAAACGCTGCTAATAGGAGAGTTTTGAGATGGCGTTTTGAAAAATGGCGTTTTCTACTATGCATCATTGATGTCATAAAAAGTTTATTTTTATGGAGTAAGAGTTTGGACCATTTGGTAAATAATACGGAGTATTGAATACTTTCGTGTTATTAGTTGAATATATGCATCACAATTAATTCTGTTTAACGCAATAAAAATGTTAAATAATTCGTTACCATATCATCAGAATTACTCCGTAATTCTTAACAAAAAGAAAATCTAAGCGAGAAAAGTAGTTTTTCTATGGGAGAAATTAACATATATTCAGGATAAGGTGATAACTATATTCATTTTTTGTTTCTTTTAAATATTTCAATTTATCTCGATGAAAAGAATAAGAAAGACGTGATCATAAATGACTTGAGATATACTCCCTACCTCTTGTTCACAATTTCCTTTTTTGGACAAGATTCTTATTTCTATTTTATGATACAATTTATAATGTTTTTAATCGGACTAAAATTTTTTGGGCTGGTATGATCTAATCTGGTCTAGTTAGGAAAATGTCTGATCTCAGTGTATTTTATAACTATGCAAGTCTGATCGGAGACCAAAAACAGCCCAAATAAAAACATCCTTAATCATCACATGTTAGAAATAATATATCTATAAAATCACATTTATCATCAATGACTTCCTTATACTCCCTCCGTCCCTTAAAGGTTTGCCATGTTTGATCGGCACGTAGAATAATAAAGTAAAAACTGTGTGGTAGAAATTTGTGCAGAGGAGAGAGAAATAACAGGAGACACAAATTGATTGATTAAAAGGGAAAGTGACAAAGTTTTTGGGACAACCAAAAAAGGAAAGTTGGCAAAGTTATTAGTGACGGAGGGAGTATGACATATCATCAATAACAAAATATACTCAAATTAGAGGTAGCATCTAATTGAGCGGTGAATGATGAAAGTAGTTAAATTTGAGGTAGTTAAAAAAACCCTATTTCGTTATTTTGATAGCAACGGGTTAACTTGATCTTGTTTATATAATTTTTTTAATCTTGTCTAGCTATTTAATTTCATTCTTATGAATTATGATCTAAGATTTAATTTGAGCTCATAAAATTAAAAAAATGTTGATCGGCCACACTAAAAAAGCCATTGCAAAGATTTGAAATGTTAGGATGTTTTCTTTTGGACGGTTTTCAGTTTCAGACCAAACCAGATCAGACCAGACTTCCGTAGTTATAAATAAACAAAGACCAGACATTTAGCAAACCAGACCAGACCAGTTCAGATCAGACCATCAAATTTCAGTCCAAAAGAAAACATCCTTAGTAGACTATCAGGCCATAGCACCCCAAATAAATTTCTTTTTCGAATTCAACCCATCACGGTCTCATGGCACATGTAAAATCGGTATAACTTCTAGGAAAAAGTACCGTGAACGTATTTGTGGTTTGACTCGTTTTCAAATAAAGACATGTAGTTTGTTTTTTACAAAGTGGAGATATGATTTCAATTTGAGAGTTTTTGTCTAAATGTCGTAAGAACTAAAATGTGGTCATTTTTTTATTCATCCACACGGTCTTTCATACAGTACTACAACATGGATCAAATTGTTTGTTTGTTTATTGATTTATTCATTCACTTACTCTTCCTAGAACGTAAAATGTGCATTATATTCTGAATATATGTATAAGTAAGATTGTATTATTAGGATACATGACTAGGATCCATCCTATACTTGTTCATGATTGATTTTGCTTTTTTTTCCAAATTGTCAATGATAGTTATTTCCTTCTTAAGAGCTGTGAAGTTGTAAAGGTCAATCCCATTTGACTTGTAATAAGCTTCTTCCGCATCTGCTACCCTTTTTTCAAACATTTTCCACTCCACAATAGATCTTGTTCGAATCTACACATAAATAAAAGTGCAGTGAGAAAATTTATACTGAGATTATTTTATTAATTCAGATTCCCTATATAAAATAATTTGTACTTAGTATCCAATCATTAATGATGTTAATTTTTTAATCCTTCTAACTTGATGGTAAACATTGACTGTTACATCAGCATGCTAAGTAATTTACCGTCCATGTCATCAAGTTTGACGATGTGGAAATCAACGTTGACCCCCCCATTTCAAAACTTACACGCTTAACTCCTAGAACACTAATCAAATAAAGTAGTTTGCATAAGATTTTTTTTGTTCAATGACCTTAATGATACTTCATAAATCATAATCGTATATATAGTTAAGGATCTTAGGAATACTTCAATTAAATTGTGTTGGGGAATTGACCAGCTTACCATGAGCCAACCAGGCATCCCATTCTCTTGTATTCCCTATAAAAAGGCAGTGAAGTTGAACAATGGGGTGAAATGCATGGATTCTCAATATAAAACACAGTACATGTGATGGATTGTCTACCCGGGGTATCTTATCCGAGGGGTTATTGCGTAAATAAATAGAGAGAAGTCAGAGCAAAATAGGAGGAGAGAGAGTCGATTTATTAAATGAACTCAGCGTGTAAGAGATAGATGTGGGATCGTTTACAAGGAGAAATGGGCTGCTATTTATAGCAGCAATAAATGCGATGAGAGTACACGTGTCAGTAATCCAACGGCCGAAGGGTCACATCAGCCGGGTGGCACCGGCAGTGGTACGTTCATCGCATTGAATGCGGTTGGTGGATGTGACGTGGCATTAAATGCGGTGGTTGGCTGTCTCTCCAAAAGGAATCTTTGATGATTGAGCAGTTGGCCGAAGGCTCCTTGTGTAGCCGAGGGCTCCGTGTGACTGAGGCCCCCTGTGTAGCCGAAGGCCCCGTGTGACCGAAGGCTAGGTTCGGCCGAAGGCTTCTCTTATGCCGAGGGCTTGATAATTCCGAAGGCTCATGTTTTTTGCCGTTTTCTCCCAGTAGCTTCTTATGCCAGAGAAGGCTACCCTCTGAGTTTTCGGAGCCTTCGGCCAAGGAGGCCGAAGGCACCCCCAGTGTGTATTCTGGGCTACTTTGAGGCTTGAGCCGTTACATTTGGGCCTGAGTTGTTCTCTGGGCTCAATGGACTCGTGTAGGAGAAGTAGGAGTCTATGGGCCGGGGGTTCCTGGGCCATATACTCCATCAACATGGTTATTGTACCTTATTCACTACATATATTTACCTCATTCGTAATTGAAGGAACTCTTCTATGAAGAACTGGCTGAGCATCAACCACTCCAATCTTCTCATGTGCGGGCTGCAAAAAACATCCAATAGGTAATCATGTTAAATGTCCCACACCGCAAACATTTGGATGAACAAAGTGTTATATTGACACATGGGTTACTCCTCCTATCAGTTTGACCTTTTAGGATGGAACCACGGGTCTTAACATGGTATCAGAGCCAAATCGATCCATGGTGTGGGCCCCTTATGAAAAATGATGACACGATTATAAAAACGTCCGGATGAAAAAAAACGGACTGATGAAAAAAACGAACCGCAACACATTTTCGAAAGGTGAAATCAAGACCCCAACCATGCACCAAGTCATTCTGCACTAAATAAAGGTTCATTACATTAACTCATTAAGGATGCACAAAAAGTACAATTCCTGTTTCAAGATCCAAATGCAGCACCTGAAGCATGTGCCACACACAACGCCATGCGTCACGAGAGAAAACAGGAGCCATGATTTCCACAAATCTAAAATGAAAAACACAAACGTACAAACTTTGATAAGAACTTGTTTGGTTGGGGGATTACAGAGTGACGGGAAAGAGTGGATCGGATTTGATTTATACTTTATCATATGATCTCTACTTTTAGTCTCGAACTAGTAATGACTAAATTACATATTGAACATTCATCATATTCTAATGAGTTATGCTAGAGGTACAAAAACTCTTACAAAAAATCTTACAAAAGTTATATGTGTCATCATCACATTATTTAACACATCACATCACTTTATAACATTTTTACATCAATGTTAATTAGAATAGCCACATCACTTGTTTCTAAGTTTTTTTGTAAGTGTGTTTGTACTTCTAGCATTTTTCTATTCTAATTCATATTTTCCAAATCAACAAAACTTTTAGTGTATTTTCTGAGTATATATACACATTTGAGTTATTAATAATACTTTATCATCAATAAATCAATGAACTACTATAAACTTATCAAGTACTCCGTACTTGATTTCAATACAGAGTATATAAGATTAGTTGATCATGCATTTCTATATTTTTATCATCATCACTTTATTTCCGACCAGATAAATTTCAGTTCCCTTACCTTATCCCTTCAATCAAACAAACCCTAAGGAACGCAGTTCCATTCTAAAACTAAAGCTCAAATTGATAAATAAAAAAAGTAGTCTGATTTATATGTTAGCTCAATGTTGAATGATTATCCTTAAAATTGTATTAACTTCCATATGCATGGCAATGTATGACATAAAAAGTAAATTAGAGTAGCGGTACGTACGCTGCACATGGAGGCAAATGAGAATCATTACACCATCCTGACTTCTCTTTCCTAATCAGAGTATTTATGAAAACATATCTTAAAATAGCATTACAAATAAGACTTTTTTGGAGGGTACTTTTAAAATCGTCTTACTTGTGAACTTCGCGATCATTTAATCTCCAAGACATTTTCCACGATGATGAACTCCCCTCCATTGCCGGTTGTGAAATCTCCAATCCATGTTTCTTGACAAGTTTGATATATCTTAGATCAAAGAAAAAAGAATCAAGTTAAGCAAAATTTACCATTTGGTTTAAACCGCTAAAAACAAGAGCACTTACTCTTCAGCGTCAAACTTCTCAACGCCTAGATCTTCATCCCATATAAAAATGTATTCATATGGAGAGACAATGTCTGGATGTAGAAATCTTTTTGCGTACCACCTTACAAAAATTTGTATAGTTCATGTTATTACTATGATCTAATTGTAACCAAGAGAAGAAGCAGTTCAGCTCCCGGGTTCGAAACTTCATGAAAGCAGTTTCAGCCCACTTTACCCCAGGTCCCCTACGTCTCCTCCCCGACGTCCCGAGGTAGAAACCAAGAGTATGTTATTGTGTAAATTATTACCATTTTGTTTGCTTAGTCACAGTAACATGGATCGCCTGCTTAGACCATTCAAACTCATCCCATTCAGTTGTTCGACCATCATAGTGAAACAGAAGAATAGTAAAATTTTCTGAAAACTGCAAAAGAAAGATGCAATTTCAAATACTAAGGACATACTATACAATAGGGAGTTGAAGAGGGCCTAAAAAGTCTCACCTTTTTAACAATATCATCAACATTATTCTTCTGCTTATAACCAACACTTATTGTTACCAAATACTTTGGTCTAGTAACTAGGTCCTGCATATTAAAAGCTGGATCATATTCAAAACAATACCTAAAGCTATCATGTCCAGAATCTTGAATAAAAAAGTCCTATTGATTAGTAAATTTGTGTGCCATTCGCCTTGTTGGAGGTATTGGTCCTACCAAGGCCTCCCTTCCACTTTATTTGTTGAGGCTTGCACCCTATTGTTTTACTCCCACTTTGGTACCTTTACCTTGGTATTTTATCTGATCAATAACATACCTATTTGAGGGTTGACTTACCCACTTGGCTGGCCCCTCTGTGTTCTGTCCGCTGCATCACTTTGTCTTGGCCTATACATGTGACTCTCCTTTGTATTGGTAACATGTGATTGTCTTTTGTCTAGCTTCACCCGTGAACTCCCTTGGCAGCCTATTTGAAGCCTTGCTTCTTTCCTTGTTGAAGCAGCCTGCGAGAATAGCCTTTCCAGAGAGCAGTGCTCTCCTTCTCTTTCCCTTTGTGTGAGAACTGAGAGGGACTTAGTGGTTGAGCTAAAAACCTTAGAGTTGTGCAAAGCCTCCCCTAAAGTGGTGTGTGAGAGTGTGTAGAAAGACCTGAGCCGGAGACGGAATAAACGGTCCTTACAGTGGTATCAGAGCCCGGAATCGCCGTCTGCCGCCGCCGCCGTCCGCCGCCGCCGTCGATTGGAGCTCGCCTAAAGTCACTGGAGCTGCCTGGTGGTTCGCACGAGCTCACTGAGGACTCTGTTCGCTGAAATCCAGCTCGCCAGAAGCTCACTGCCGCAGAAAAACTCGCCGGAATCAGTGCTGGAGCCGCTGATCTTCTGGTTGTTCTCCGGTCACCGTTTCGTCGTCAAAGGGCTCCGCCATCGAGGTCGCTGGTGCTGACTGTGTTGATTCGCAGAAGACAGACGAAGAAGCTAGTGACTCTTGGTTCGCATCTGGAGCTCGCCGTCCGGAGAAAGCTCGCCGCTCGCCACCACCGGCTGCCTGCCGTCGTTCGTCCCCCGCCGTCGCTGAACCGCCGTCCATCGCCGCCGAGAGTCCTTCGCTGGAATCGACCAGAGGTGGTCTGTGGCTCGAGGCTTAGTTCTCGCGTAGATGATACGCATGAGAGATGAATTAGGCTTTGGACTGTTGGACTTCTAGTGGCTGGTACTTTTGGACAGCTGGAATTTTTTGGGCTGCTGCTGGGCTGGAGTTGCTGGAACTAGAGCTGGGTTGCTTGGTGCTGCTGGACCAGGCTATTGGACTGTGGAGCTATTGCTGGACGTGGGCTGGACACTGGACCAGTCAACGCCGGTCAACGGCCGTCAACCCCTCCAGAAAAATCCCAATTTTTTTAAATTGGGTAGGTAAGGTCGAAACGCTCTCCTAGGGTTTCGCGAAGGTAAGTTTTCTGTAAACTTCCTATTTGTTATATTTCGGTTTTAATTTAAGTTAATTTATTCCCCCTCCCCGCGGGCCGCCGGTTGATTTAATCCCGGCCGCCAACCCCCCAGGTACGTACTAAACTTTCTCCTTTGTGGTAGACTGTTTTAGTTAATCAATTAAATTGCTTTGTGTTATTTAAATTAATTGTTATGCGTAGGGGTGGTTTATTGGGTGGTAGGGGTAGAATTAATTAAATTTAATTTTTCTGCCCGGAATTGTTTAATTGCCAAAATGTCCATTTTTTTGCTATGTGTTGCATGCTGCCCGGGGTTATTAAAGTGAATACTTTATAACCCGGGTTGGATTATTTTCTGTCAATTCAGTCTGTTTAGCTTTGTGTTCCTTTGTGGTTGATACCATGGCTGCAAATCAGTATGGTATGCTTCCATTTAATGGAAAAACGGATTTTGATATTTGGAAACAGAAAATAAAGTGTGTTTTAATACAGCAAAAAGTTTTCAGAGCTGTCACTGGTATTTTCCTTGAATCAGAAGATAAGGCTAAGCAAATTGAAATGAACGAAACTGCTTGTTCTACTATTTACTTGAATCTGTCTGATTCTGTGCTTAGGAAAGTGGGTATTCTTGAGTCCGCTAAGGAGTTGTGGGAGAAATTGGATAGTCTCTATACTGATACCTCTTTGCCCGGGAAGTTGTTCTTACTAGAAAAATTCTTTAGGTTTAGGCTTGACCTGACTAAGGATATAGATGAGAACCTGGATGTGTTTAATAAACTGATACAGAATATCAAACAGGCAGGTGATAAACACATAGATGATTATACTCCCATAGTATTACTTAATGCCATTCCCGACTCTTATAATGATGTTAAGTCCGCTATTAAGTATGGTAGGGATGAGATTTCATTAGACATTGTGGTGAATGGGTTAAGGAGTAAGGAATTAGACCTGAAGCATGCTAGGGGTAGTGCTAGTCAGTCCAGGGACTCCGGTGAGGCTATGTTTGTTAGGGGTAGATCTAAGGGTAGGTCTAAGAATCCTAAGCAAAATAGTCAGGGTAAGAACGCTAGTCAGCCTGGGAGGAAGAGGAGCAAATCTAGGAAGAGAGTGTGTTACAATTGTGGTAACACTGGCCATTTCATTAAGGATTGCCCCCATCCTAAGAAGACCGAGCATGCTAGTGTAGCTGTTGATAAATGTGACCTTGGTGATATTTTGATGGTTTGTGACCATGTTAATTCTGTAAGAAATTCCCTGTCTGAGCATGAATGGTTGATTGACTCTGGTTGTACCTATCACATGTCCCCCTTTAGAGATTTGTTTTCTACATATGAGTTATGTGATAGTGGCTATGTTTCCTTAGCTGATAATAAGAGATGCAATGTGCTTGGTGTTGGTGATATATGTCTGAAATTTTCTTGTGGCTCTGTGTTTACCATTAAGAATGTGAGGCATGTCCCTGATTTGTGTCATAACTTGTTATCTGTTGCTGCTTTGGAGAGTAGTGGGTTACAGGGAAAATGGGGGAATGGTTGTATGAAAATCCTGAAAAACTCGCTTGTTTTGTTTAAAGCTGAGAAGGTGAATAACCTTTATGTGTGTCATGCTAAACCTTTTACTGAGTCTGTGAATGTTGTATGTTCTGATAAGACCTCTTTGTGGCATAATAGGCTAGGACATATGAGCAATAAGGGTTTAGATGTCATGCGTAGGGCGGGTTATTTTGGTAAGGACTCTGTGACTTCTGTGCCTTTCTGTGAGTCATGTGTGTTGGGCAAGCAGCATAGAGTCAGTTTCCCTCCTTCCTCTTACCCTAATCTGTCTAAGTGTTCGTCTGTGCTTGAATATGTTCATGCTGATGTTTGGGGTCCTGCCAGTGTTCCTACCCACGGGGGTAGGAAATATTTCCTTTCTATTATTGATGACTTTTCTAGGAAGGTGTGGGTTTGCCTTTTAGAACACAAGTCTGATGTGTTTGTGAGGTTTAGGGAGTGGAAAACCCTAGTTGAAAACCAGACTGGCAGGAAGGTTAAAGCCCTTAGGACCGATAACGGGTTAGAGTTCTGTAATAAGGAGATGGATAAGTTGTGTGTGGATTGTGGGATAAAAAGGCACAAAACTGTGTCTTATACTCCCCAACAGAATGGGATAGCAGAGAGAATGAATAGGTCTCTATTGGATAAGGTTAGAAGCATGTTAGCTACCTCTGGTTTGTCTAAGAAATTCTGGGGTGAAGCAGTCACTACTGCTGCCTATTTGGTTAATAGGTCCCCGTCTGTCCCTCTTGGTGGTAAGTGTCCTGAAGCCGTCTTTACCGGTAAGCCTCTTGATCTGTCTAACCTTCGGGTGTTTGGTTGTGCAGCGTATGCACACCAACAGGGTGACAAGTTGGATCCTAGGTCTAAGAAATGTGTCTTCCTAGGTTATCCAGAGGGGGTAAAGGGTTACAGGTTATGGGATAGGAACCAGGTAGGCTTTAAAGTGGTCCTTAGCAGAAATGTGGTGTTTAATGAAACTGATTTTCCTTGCTTGACCGAGTCTGTTTCTAATCCTGAGTCTAGGTCTGATAGTACTCCTAGTGAGGTGGAGTCTGTCCCTGTTGCTGCTAGTCCTTTATCTGTTGATCCTGTTATTACTGATGATATTGTTATGCATGATTCTGATTCCTCTGAGCATGATAGTCCCACCACCTCGAGTGAGGTGGAGCATTTGCATGATACTGAGCATGATTTGCATGATATGGGTGCTGAATCTGATTTTCATGATAACAATAATTTGCATGAGTTGCATGTGGAGCCTAGTAGTGATAATTTGCATGGTTATCAACTTGCTAGAGATAGGAGTAGAAGGGCTATCAGGAGAACTGCTGATAGTATGCCTGATTATGCTTTCATTGTGCATGATACTTCTATGTTTGTTTTTTCTGTGTTTGAATTTCTAGAACTGAATGAACCCAAGACCTACCGTGAAGCCTTAGGTTCCAAAGAGTCTCAGAAATGGATTAGTGCCATGAAAAGTGAGATGGACTCTTTGAGAGTGAACCAGACTTGGACCATTGTACCTAGACCCCCCAACTGTTCGGTAGTTGAGTGTAAGTGGTTGTTTAAGGTTAAGGAAGAACCTAGTGATGTTAGGTTTAAGGCTAGGTTGGTTGCGAAGGGGTTTACTCAAAAAGAGGGGGTAGATTATGCAGAAATCTTTGCTCCTGTTGTTAAATTCACCACTATTCGTATGATGCTTGCTTTAGTTGCTCACCATGACTGGGAAATGAAACAGATGGATGTAACTACTGCATTTTTGCATGGTGAATTGGACAAAACAATTTATATGACCCAGCCTGAGGGCTTTGTGGATCCCAAGAGAAGTGAGCATGTCTGTTTGCTTAGGAAGGCTTTGTATGGCCTGAAGCAATCCCCTAGGCAGTGGAACATCAAATTTGATAAATGCATGATATCTTTGAAGTTCCAAAAATCTGTTTGTGATCATTGCCTGTATTTCAAAAATACTTCTTCTGTGCCTGTATTTTTGTTACTCTATGTGGATGACATGCTGATAATTAGTCCTTCTCTGAATGCTATTAAAGATGTGCAGAAATGTCTTTGTGCGAATTTTGCCATGAAAGACCTAGGTGATGCCAAGAGGATCCTAGGCATAAACATTGTTAGGGATAGGAGTAAGCGTACTCTTACTTTGAATCAGATTTCTTACATAGAAAAAGTTTTGAGTAAATTCAATATGTTATCTGCTTCTCCTGTTAATGTCCCTTTGGCATCTCACTTTGTGTTAAGTAAGGACCAGTCTCCCAAGACTGCTCCTGAAATTGAGAAAATGAAATCTGTGCCTTATTCCAGCGCAATAGGGTCGGTGATGTATCTTATGGTTAGCACTAGACCTGATATTGCATATGCGGTTAGTTGCTTGAGTAGATATATGTCCAACCCTGGTTTGCCCCATTGGAATGCTCTTAAGTGGTTGCTTAGATATCTGATTTCTACTGTGAAGCATGGATTAATTTTCTCTAAATGTGCTAGTGGTATTGAATTGATCGGTTATGTTGATTCTAACTATGCAAATGATAGAGATAACAGGAAGTCGACCACTTCTTATGTTTTTACTTTGTGTGGCTCTTGCATTAGTTGGAAGTCTCAACTACAGCCTATTGTGGCCCTTTCTACCACTGAGTCCGAGTATGTTGCAGCCACAGAAGCGTTTAAGGAAGCCATCTGGCTCAAACGCCTTGTCTCCGAAATTGGGTTTCTCAAAAAGGGAGTTACCATTTTCTCGGATAGCCAATCGGCTATCCAACTTTGCAAAAATCCTGTATTTCATGATAGAACTAAGCATATTGATGTTAGGTTCCATTTCATACGTGATATTGTTGATGCAGGTGGAGTCAAGCTGTGCAAGATCCCGTCCGAGTTTAACCCCGCGGATATGGGTACCAAGTGTCTTTCTGCTGAGAAGCACTTGTCCTGTAAACGCGTGTTAAACTTTGATTGTGGATAACTGTGGGTTGCCTAATAAAGTGTTTGCCCGTTGTGTCTGTTGATATTCCGGGTGACCCGGCGATGATGAGTCTTGTCACAACCTTGTATTGTTACTCTACACCACCTAGGACCAATAAGGTGGAGAATGTTGGAGGTATTGGTCCTACCAAGGCCTCCCATCCACTTTATTTGTTGAGGCTTGCACCCTATTGTTTTACTCCCACTTTGGTACCTTTACCTTGGTATTTTATCTGATCAATAACATACCTATTTGAGGGTTGACTTACCCACTTGGCTGGCCCCTCTGTGTTCTGTCCGCTGCATCACTTTGTCTTGGCCTATACATGTGACTCTCCTTTGTATTGGTAACATGTGATTGTCTTTTGTCTAGCTTCACCCGTGAACTCCCTTGGCAGCCTATTTGAAGCCTTGCTTCTTTCCTTGTTGAAGCAGCCTGCGAGAATAGCCTTTCCAGAGAGCAGTGCTCTCCTTCTCTTTCCCTTTGTGTGAGAACTGAGAGGGACTTAGTGGTTGAGCTAAAAACCTTAGAGTTGTGCAAAGCCTCCCCTAAAGTGGTGTGTGAGAGTGTGTAGAAAGACCTGAGCCGGAGACGGAATAAACGGTCCTTACACGCCTGATCAAATTTGAATGTAGAGACAATCACTAAGTAATAAGGTGTCAACCTCAATTGCAAATTATAAGGTACCCGTTTAGCAAGAGTGTTAACAATATATTGGAGAGAGTAGTTTTTAACTTTTGTAACTTCTAAAACGAACAAAAAGTAGTATATCTGTCCACACACAAAAAGTTAAAATCGACAAAGTGTGAAAGTAAAATACTTATGCAGTTTCAATTAGAAAAATGTCTATATTTTCAGGATAGATAAGAAGTAAAGTGCGTCTATTATAATATTACAATGATAGATAAGAAGATCTAAAAATATATGATATTATAAACAATTACTTTTTAAAAAAGTAATTGTTTATAATATCATATATTTTTAGACATTAGCACTAAAAAAAAGTCTTTTTTAGTGAATACATCTAAATGAGTGCTAGTTTACAATATAACAAAACTCAATAATCAAGAGATAAACAAAGTGATCTGATCTAGGCCAAATGTAGTCTACTAGAAGCTATCCAAAAAAGATTTTTCAAATGCTTGCCTCACTTGGTTCACCGCATAATCGACGACGAAACAAGTCTGACTCAGAGACAACAAGTTTTGGAGGCAATCTCTCTGCTCCCCTAGGGTTTGATGAAGCCCAAATCTATTAAAAAAATCACAATACAAAGTGAATATATTTCTGTTCGGGAATAATTATTTATTTTTCATATACCCAAACCCATTACATTAAATCGTATATTTAGGACGAAATGAATTTGAATAACCTAAACAGGATAACCTTTGTAGAATACTGAACATTTTGAGTAGTTATCAAGTCAGTTCTCTCTACGATAGAACCCACATTGAGAGAGTCTTTAACAAATGGCTGCAAAGTTGGAGTAGCAAGCCAGCTGATGAGTTATGAGAGCCACTAAACAAAATCATCTTAAAATAGAATATTGGTAATCATATAAGGGAAACATGTTCTTTCCTTGATTAATGAAAGTGGAGGAAATGTCACCCCAATTAAGAAGCCAAAAATGGTTCCAAAAACAACACTAACATAACTCCTCTTTAATACATGTGTTCTTTTAGCACTTAGAGTACTACCTGAAACAAATGTGAGAGATAAGACACTATCAGTGAGTTAAGGATGACCAAATCATATTTAGCGGGCATTTTTGTTATGATATGTTACTATCAGTGACACAACACCACATGGTTTGCACAATAGTAAGGTGCAACGCCATACGATTATATCATACAATCAGTTGTACCGTGTTATTGGAACAACATGATATATTTGTAATTAACTTCAAATCGGAGCTTAGTTATAGCCAGATAACATCACTAGAAACATATCGCTAGAGATTTTTAGACCCAACGTGTTGGACAACGGATCTCACAAAGCTGTGTAGATTGCGAGTGATATTCCCGTTTTCTCCGAATTCCATAGCTTTTGTCACCGCTGATCATAACCATGACATCCTTGATCAACCTTCTTCGTCTACAAAAGAGTGGAGGAGAAGTGGTGATGAATGTTGGCTGGTCACTTGTTTAGCGTGAGGAAGAACACATGAAGCTAAGAGTACATGCACTGGTTCACGTATCAATTATTTAACAAAAAATGTCCTTATTTTGCTAAAAGAATAGTCCTTATTTGACAAAAAATGTCACTCCAATTAAGAAGTAAAAAATGGTTCCAAAAATAACACTAATATATCTCCTCTTGGGATATTTATTTGGAAGATCACTTAACTTTTAGTGAGTTTCAATTTGGTCACTTAATTTTAATTTGATTCATTTCAATCATCTAATTTTATTTTCAGTTACAAACCAATTATTTCCGGCCTATTTAGTTGCCGGAAAAGTGGATAACTGTTGTTAAATAGTCCAAATAATTTTAATTGGATACAGAGGAAGAAGTCCTTAGAGTTGACTCTCAATCCTCTTCAATAACTGTTGTTAATTATAGTCCAAATAAAAAGAGATCATTCACTTTGTTCCTTCAATAACTGAATAACTGTAATTCAACCATCAAATTGCAAATGATAATGATAGTTCCACTGATAAGCCTCCTTACACTCCCCTGTTTAAACAAATCCAGCCCGCCAGCGATTGATTACAGGCCATCCTTGAAGAACATCACCTGTAATCTTATTTCCTCCCTCTGTGTACTATCTTCTGTCATTCTCATCTTCAGTCAATCACCCTTACCAAAATCTCAACTAGTAAGCAATGGAACTTTACCAGAACCTTCATCATTGGACCTCATCGATCGCAAGGGCTGCGGTCTCATCATCCGTGGAGGCTATTTTCATTGATCCGGCTGATTACAGGCCATCCTTGAATTTTGACTTTTTACTTGAGGTCGGATACTTTAAGTATAACTGAGTGAGATGGCTAAACTAACGATGCGGAAGCTATTAATTCTTACTATCAAAGAGATAACATACATTTATAAACACGTCATTGTTCCGGCAACTTAATAGGCCTGATATATTAATTTACAACTAAAGTTATAATTAAGTGATCAAAATGATACAAATTAAATTAATGTGATCAAATTGAAACTTAGTTGAAAGTAAAGTGATCATCCAAGTTAATTTCCCATCTCCTCTTAGATACATTTGTTCTTTTAGTAGAAGAGCTTATTTGACCATTTTTCCTTACTTTACCACATCTGGTTCAAGACTCATTGACTCAACACTAACATATGATTAGATACGTACTTAATTATATTTGGCTATTTGCTATGTTCCTCTAGACACATTTATGTAGAGGAATAGTCCTAAATAGAAGTAACAGGTTTCGGAATTTCAGAATATGATAGTTACGTTTTTCTTATTGAAATATGAGTCGTTACTGTCATTGGTGACAGTAAATGCTGTCATGTTACTTCTATTTTGGGGGAAAAAATATAGGAGTCCTATTTTGAAACGTCAAAACTCGTTTACTCCTATTTCAGGAACTTTCACATTTACGTACATATAAATTTGCAATATACAATACCTTCCTCCAAGTACTAAAGAGTGATACCCTTTTTCTGTATGTCTACAATAATACATTATTTTATACTCTCTTAATGGCAATAAAAATTTGGGAGAGTTCCTACTGTGTCCCTTGGAAAATGATGAACGAAAATACTCGTAAAGTTTTGCGGTATGTGTAACATATTAACATAATAACATGCATGTATAATATAATATGATACCTGAATGAATTTAAAGGAGAACGTATTGAAGAAGAAACCAGCAGTGAAACTCTCAGATCAAAATTAATGAATCAATAGCGACTACTGTAAAATGAGTGCAATGAAGGCCGAAGCACTGGCAAATGCAATATATACGTACTGTCTCGCATACACACACATATATAGTTAACTTTGTAGCATGGAAACGAGAAACGGTTAACATGTAACAGTGAAAACGTCATTTATAAAAAAAAGTCCTATGCTTAAATAAAAACTCTATGCTTAAAAAGTCATTTAACTATTACTAAAACAAAACTTATTTACTAAAATATATTAATAGTTACTACAATGTAGTGTAATGGTAGATTGATTTTAAAAAAATGAATATAAATGAGTACTAAGTATGATATGGAGTATTACAATATTACTACTCTAGTCACTAGTCACATTTTTATAAACAATCTTTATTTTAGTCATAAATATATAATTATTTCTATAATATAATTCAACACTCACATTTTAGTCATAAATAATTCGCATTTTCTATAATATTAACTGCATTATACAAAGTCTACCCTGAGCGGTGACTGCGAGGCGGTGATCATTACTATTTACTATAGAATACTACCTCCGTCCCATAAAACTTGACCAACTTTCCTTTTTTGGTCATCCCAAAAAACTTTGTAATTTCCATTTAAAGTAACAAATATGTGTATATAGTTATTTCTTTTTCCACTGCACAAAATCAATCACACAGTTTTTTACTTTATTAATCTACGTGCAAGTAACAATGGTCAAGTTTTATGGGACGGATGGAGTAAAATTAAAGATGAAATTGCTCAGAGATCAATCACTAAACTCTTTGTTTGAACTTTTAAATTTTGTTATCGGTACTTCTTGCGGCAATGTTATATTTCTCTGTAGAAACTATTTTAAATTTTTTATACATAATGTCCCATTTTATATCACTCTATACCCCTTCCATCCTGAAAAGGTTAGTCAAATCGACTTTTCTTAATCAATGTGATCAACTTTGACCGGTTACATTTTTAAATGGAAATCAGTTTGAATATGAAAATTATACCGTTCTTTATTCTTATAAAATATATAAAGTTGGATATCATTCACCAGTAAAATTCAAGCGAACTCATTCGGAATGGAGGTAGCATTTATTATATGTGCTCTCCACATCATGAGGCTTTGAAATGCCAAAAAGAAGCATTATGAAGAGTGGACCGCAAATGACTATTAAATCACGAACAATAAGTTTGGGTCGCTAATGACCAATTTATGTGATAAGGTCAACCACTAGGCCTTCTCAGATTTCTATCCGTTGGTATTTTTATGTGCAGATCGTGCTGGAAGACTTGGAAAATGTACTCATAATTCATATAGTCATATTCAAATGGGTGGACCCACTTGCACTTTACAAAAAAATAAAAAAAAACGGGAGCTCAGATACGCTTGGTTTATCCGCAAAGCAGACCATGGGCGACCCAATCGTCCGAGGAGCGTAGAATTTCATCACAGCAAGCCCGTAAACTTTTGCACCAGCCGGGAATCGAACCAGGGTCTGTACCGTGGCAGGATACTATTCTACCACTAGACCACTGGTGCTTGGTGTTAGAAACTCCAACTAGTCTTTACTTATTTAAAACGCATTTATGCCCATTCTAATAGGATTGAATTGGAGTGTTGATTGTGGGCGTTCTCATGTTTAATACTCCCTCCGTCCCATTGGACTTTTCTAATTTTCCTTTTTTACTTGTCCCAAAAAATTTTGCCACTTTCCTTTTAAAGCAACTAATTTGTGATTCTGCACATTTTTCTCTCACCTGCACAAATTTCAACCACACAATTTTTACTATTCCTATTTCTCACCTAATTTGCACTTGGCAAAGTCTACTGGGACGGAGGTAGTATTTAAAAATGCTTTTCGTGAGTCACAAAATTGTGATTTTTGTTATTTCTATTTGCTCTATACAAATCTTAACTACACATTTTACTTTATTATTTTGGTACTCATCAAATTTGGCAAAATTTTTAGGGACAGACAGTGTCGTATCCACTATGGCGAAGTGGGGGCAGCTGCCCCCTCTAAAGCCCGACCCAACCCTATATATATATCCTAAAGTTTTATAGAATTTGCTCAAAATAGGAGTTAAACATACGAAAAATTTTAAAAATAGGATTAAGAGTGTTTTCTTCTATAAATATAGGATTTATGTAATCCTATTAAAAGAATAAAAGGAAAAACAATATACTAAATTTTGTTATGTTTAACTTTTATTTTGGTAATTTTCTCATATTTTATCGACAATTTCATCTTTACACACAAAATAATTTAAATTGATCTTCTTTTTATGCATATTTGTACATTTATAACTTAAACTTGATCTAATCAAATAATATTAATAATGTTATCTGATATTTATGAAATATGTGATCAAGTTGTAATGCAAGTTCGCCCCCACTCAGAAATATTTATGGATACGCCATTGGGGACGGAGTGAGTCTTTTATTTTATACATGCAAGTACGCAAACTGTAAAAGTGTAATATTGAAAGGAAATTCATTCTCTTGTTACTTTTAAGGTAGATTAAATTTGCTTATTAGTTATTACTAACATTTTGCTTATGCAGTGATTTTGTAGGGATGTCTGTATAGATGTTAAAAAATAGTGTGTTGCTTTAGAAGTGGTTCTGTTCGTCTTATTCTTATTACTTATTGCTTATTCTTATTTTATTCAGATCAGATCAGAAAAATTCAGATCAGATCAGATCAGAAACATTTAGATCAAATCAGAAAAGTTCAAACATAATTTATCACTTTTATTATTATAATAATTATTATAATTATTTCATTATCATTAATAATAATAATAATAATAATATATTAGTAATAATATTATTATTATTTTAAAATAATAATATAATAATAATATAAAATATTATAATAATAATAATAATATAATATTAATAATAATAATAATAATAATATAATAATAATATAATATTATTATTAGTATTATTATTTATTTTTCTTATATTATTATTATTATATTATTATTGTGGTTGTTGTAATTATTATTATAAGTATTAATATAATATTAATATTATTATATTGGCTGTTGTAATTATTATCATACAGAGTGATTATAATTATAATTATAGAAATAAATATAATAATTATACTTACACTTATAATTATATAAGTAATTATATAATTAATTATGATTATATAATTACAATTATAATTGTATCTATAATTATAATTAGTATAATAGGTATAATTATTAAAATTTTGAATTTAATTTTAATTATTATTATATTTTTTTATAATTATGATTGTAATTATAATTTTATTTAAATTATATTTGTAATTTAATTTATATTTATAGTAATTATAATTATAATTATAGAAATATTCAAATCAAATCAGAAGGATTCAGATCATATCAAAAAAACATTCAGATCAGATCAGACCAGATCAGAAAGATTCAGATCAGATCAGATCAGAAAGATTCAGATCAGATCAAAACTTAAAAAATTCACATCAGAAACATTCAGATCAAGTGAAGAGAACGGCTTCTTACTCTACATCTGTGATCTATTTAAATCATATTCAAAGTTTTAAATTACATGAGTTGTTTGATCTATATATCAAAAGGTGAAAGAGACGAGCATCAAAGTGCATCAAATTGAGTAAAATATCAATTTGTAATTTGCATGGTAAAAGTAATTTTTATGAAAATCACACCCTATTAAACACCTATCCCTAAATGTATTATGAACTAAATTAATACCGAGTACTTCTTTCGTCCAATTAGACTTTGCAACCTTTTTTTGTTCCAAAAGATTTTGTCACTTTCCATTAAAGTAACTATTTTGTGGTTCTGCTCATTTCTCTTTCCTCTGTACAAACTTCAATCATAAATTTTTTACTATTCAAATTCTCGCTTAATTAAAAGGTGTAAAGTCCATTGGAACGTAGGTAGTATTAAACAAATTACACAAAGCCGACATGAACAGGGATTGTTAAAAAAAAAAGGATGGCACCCCATCCCGGCCTGAGAGCCCCCAACACCTACCGAACGGTACGTTGGGGAACAGGGATTGTTATTAAAGAATACAATTGAAGGTGTAATTGAGTACATGATGACACATTATTGGCTTAGTGGACTTCTTAAATAATCTTTCACGCCTTTAATTGGCAACTAAGATATACGTAGTATAATATGTATAGCAGAAATATTATTTACTTTTAGTTGAAAAAAACACAGGATCATAATTAAAATCAATGTTCTAAAAGGCGCTAAGCGCTAGTCGGGCGTCAGCCTAGCGCCTAGGCAGGCGCCTAGGCGGCTAGGCAGGCGCCTAGGCAGGGACTAATCGGAGACATAGAAATTATATTTTTATCTATATTTTTGCATATATATATGATAAGTAATATTGTATTTGTGTGTGTATAATTTTCATATATACATATACATTAACAAACTTGAAAGATAGAATAATCACATTTAATCATACATAGTACGGAGTATATGATAACTAATCACTTAACTTCATTATGTTATAAATATAAATATTGATAAAATTTAGGTATATATACAAACATGTATAGTTTTATCTTAATTTACAACTTCATTTCTTTATATCCATGGCTAAAGTTAAAGTACGTATATCGCTTGGAAAATTAAAATTAAAAAGTATAGTAATGTTCGGCGAATCTAGACGTCCTAAGTGGCAAATTAAGTGCTCTAGGCGGGCAACTAGGCGCCATAGGCAGCCGACTAATTCACCTAGATGGCAAACCAATTAGTTGGAGCGCCTAGACGAAATCGGGGCGTCCGGCCACCGCCTAGCGCCTAAGCGGGAACTAGTTGGACGCCTAGAACGATTTTTACAACAAAGATTAAAATAGAACAAAAAGTGATCATCTTATAAATGCCACTATGCAGTTAGGTAACTGTCAGTGGCCCTGAGGTAATTGTCACTGAGATGAGGTGACTATCATTGTGCCGTTGAGGTAACTATCTTTGCGCCAGTGGTGGCTGACGGTATTATGATGGAGGTCACTGCACTATAGGTCATTGTGGCGGATCAGGTAAGATAAAGTCGCTAGGGATTACGGGTATTTTTGTAAATTTGCCTTTTAATCACATGTTTGGAAATTTATAAAAAAAACTTTTATTGTCCATTATACACTTCTTAGTTATATACTCCGTATATTTGATTATTGTGGTTGAATAATTTACCAATAAGTAATACATAGGTCATATATAATTAACTAGCATTGGCCCGCACGTTGTGCGGGGTAATGCCCAATAGGGGGCAAAACATAACGTGTGAGGTCAATGCCCAATAGTTACTGAAAACAACTTTAAATACATTGCACTGCAAAGATGTACTTTGTGGTTGGGCATGATCAGTTTCAGTTCCCAAAGATGTATATGCTGTATTTGAATAAGAAAATATGGTGTGTTCAAGTTTCTTGAAGGCATGTTCATATCTTCAGCTATATAAAAACAAAGCTAGAGTTCTTCCGGTGCAAGGACTGTTTTAGAATCCATTAATTCACCTTTGTAGGATCTATAACACAAACTGAAATGCCGTGACCCTATACACGCCCACTGTAAACACAATCCCAACAGTTTGTCCATGTGAAGCAAAACAATCCTTGCACACTACAATTGGCAAAAGAAGGATGAAATAGGGCGGGTGTTGGAAGAACATACCTCTTCTTGGAGTATTTAGGCGACGACTGGGACAAGGACGGATGAAAGACTCGGCTGGGAATTGACAAGGGCAGAGGACAAAAAATCTTGAAATTCCATATAGCTGGGGAATGCCGAAAAACCTTCAAACACCAACAGACTTAAGTGGGTGGCAAAGGGTGGCAAACTTGCACTCATTTCACTTATTCAACAATATTAACATATAAGAGAAACGAAGCAAGACAAAAAGGGAAAAAATTCAAACAAATAATACACTTCAAAGAATTTAAAACAAAGAATAAACAAATATTAATAACAAAACAGTTCTTCAATCGATGAACAAAAATCGAAAACAAGGATAAGATCCATCTACGGAATCATGAAAGAAAGAGTTTATATTCAAAAAAGCATCAATGAAAATGTTGATATACATAAAAGAAATCTGATCTTAGCAGTATATAGTTCAAAAGGTTTCTAAATTCTAAAGGTGCATTACATGGACTCAAAGGAGAAAGCTAATTTTAAAAATGAGAATTGAACAATGGAGTTCAAGAGGTTTTCAAATGTTTTCAAATCTTAAATTTGAGGTGACATTATATAATACAGTATGGTTAGTACATTATTTCAATGTGATATGTTTACATGTCATTCTTTTTAGAAATGGGTATGCATTGGAACCTTCCTTGATCATTTTTCAAACCCCCAAAAGTAATATGTAACTTTGCCTTATAGGAGTGGAGTAACTTAGGCAACCTAAGACACTTTGTTCAGAAAATTGTCAAAAATCATCCATGTTTCTAATATTGAAAGCAGCACAATTACACGTATAGGCTTTTTAAAGGACACGGGAAACATGAAATAGACAAAAATTATAAGTTTCACCTCAAGTTAGTTCAATCTCTCGCATACGCTCTTTCACCCGTTGATAGCTTTGTGCAAGTTTCCAACCTTCAGTTTCAATTGTCTTAAAGTAATTAGGGGACCTGAAAGTCGAGATAACTTTTAAAGCTTGAATCAAACATTTAACTATGATTTATTTGTAAAAGTTTGGTGCATTTAACAATACCATTTACTAATCAACAAATTCACTTTCATTAATATTTAAAATGGACTCTGAAACCAACATCATGCCCATATCCCTCAACTGAGAGAGGTATAATGAAACAAGCATTCACACGTGTTTATTCCTCTCATACAATGTACAAGAACACATGCTTCAGATCTGTCATGCAAAGTTTGTGAACAAATAAAATATGAAAGACAAATAACCAATTGACGTCTGCATCAAAATAGGCTGCTTACCCATGCTTCAGATCTGTCATGCAAAGTTTGTGAACAAATAAAATGACACAATTCTTGAAGAAATATAAATTTTTGATCAATATACAAATTGAAGTTTTATATAACGAGATTATACTTACATCTCAAAGAAAAATGTCGCTATAGGTAGATCATTATCAGAAGCTTCAGCATATGTGCGCCAAAAGCATTGAGAAGCTTTTGTTTTAGCTCTTGTTTGGTTGAATGGTTTGGTAGGGGAGTAGATGAAAGTGAAGCACTTGTTTGTGTTTGAATGGGTGAAATACAGGGGAAGGTGAGAGGAAAGTGGAGGAGCTCTAAGATGCATAAACTTGAAAAATATACTCTGTATTTCAAAGATTATTCAAGATGTTGAAAGACCTGCCATCCAAGACAGCATTAGCAACATCAGTTGCTTCAGGCAAGTACATAAGAAGCGCATAAATGAGACAGGGAGGGCCTAGCAAATTGAGCACCCAATGTTAAAAATACACACGGTACCATATAGGCATATAAGCATAATAGTTTTTCCCAAAAATGGATGCTGCCATAAGGAATATCATGAGATGAAAGTCTAAATTGTTGATTGATCGATCCAGGATTATTTGGAATATGCAGTGTGCAAGGAACAAATATATCTTCTTAAGAAGAAGTTATTGCAAGATCTATTTACTTACCCTGTAGGCCGGCTACCTGTAAATAGATTGGGATACATATGTAGTGGTGTTTTTCTTCTGATTTGTTTAACTCTGAATAGCTACCACCAATATGAACATAAGCTTCTATTTTCTAGGAGCATACTGGCATGACAAGTAGCACAAAGTGTCAGTCGGGACTCAGGATTACCTTATCCATAAGTGACTCAATTTTTTTGCAGAAACATGGAAAGCTTGAGACCAAAGGTTTCAGGGTAATGCGTGGTGCTGTAAAGATCTAAAACTCTACAAGCTGAAAAATCCAGCAATCAGTTAGTTGTTTATCAAGACTTAGCAAAAAATCAAGCACTCGTATTCATGACGATTGCAAAATCTGGCAGTTGCTTTTAATCCAAATGCTTAAAAAGCAAAGTAATATTAGGATTCCCTGCCCATTTGAATGATGGCTCCAAGATTAACTCTTTTTCATCATTAAGATAAACCTTCATACCTGGAAAGGAAGGGAACCATAAGTATTTAGAGATTGAAGTAAACTTATAATACAAGAGAAAACTGAATGCCTAAACTTCCTATGTAATAAACATATGCCACTGAAAAATAAAAATGTACTGTGGTAATAGAAATAGGATATCATCATTCGATATGTACCGAGGACTTTAATAAATACAGTAAGATTTCTTGTTCATTTTTATTTACAGACTTCAGTTAGAAAAAAATCAATTTAGAAAATGATTAATCATTCAGCAAACCTTGCAGAGTTGGTGGCAAAGACCCAAGAGTCAGAGTTTCAAATTCTGCAGAGCCTCTGCTACCCCCAGGAGCACCAAAAAAGATCATGTTGAAAAGACCAATCACTACAGTTTCTTATGTCTCTACTATGCAACAAACAAAACATTAGTAAACTTACAAAGTTCAAAGAGCATAACAGCAGTAAGCAAGCATAACTCCAATTCAGAAAAAACATTTCATTAAGAGTAGGAAAAATTTCTCATTGAGTGAAATTGGCCTGATTTAAAGCAGTCTTGTACTTAGGTGTATCTAAATTGAGATAGGTGTATAGATGTTAAGTATGTTTGATGCCTCTAATAGTACCAGGTGACTTCTTTCTTTTCAAATTTTACTAAGTGATTTAAAAGAACTCATCTGCTTAATAGTACCTGGATTATAAGTACTTATCACTTAATTTTACTACGTGGTTTGAAAGAAGTCCCCTACTTAAAATCAATTGTGATTCAAATGTCTGGAATCAGGATTCATTTCATATCTAAGTTTTAATACTATGTCTTTAGCCTCTAATTTTGGAACTGTAATCAAATTTATTTTACTATAAAAGAATTTAATATGATTTCAGTCAAAATCACCTTTTTAGAAAAGATTTAGAAAATAAAAACAGTTAGAAAAACATAGCTACTAAACACCTTTCCATTTCCAAAATCTAAAATCAAACAGAATAAAAATAACAAACTTTAAAACCCTTTGATTAGGTTTATACGTACTTGTTATAACAATAGCTAAAGTAAATCTTAAACTTAGTTGATTAGGTTATATATACGTATGTCAAGTAGCAAATGTTTAAGTAGTACAAGTATTAGTTATAAGGAATTAAAAATTACCTGAAAAGATATTTCATTAATTCTAAGTAGTCTTTGTTACAGTAAAACAAAACTGATCTACTAACATCAATTAAGTAAGTAGTTCAAGGTTGAGTAGTTTGGAGCACTGGCTTGCTAGCGACAATGTACGTTCACGACCTGCGTACCAGAAACATAGCAGCAAGGGATATAAAGACAATTGACATTCACACCTGAAAAACTGTTTTCTTTGTAAGAAATAATGTGTGTAAGGTGAGTAGTAGCATGGTCATATTGTTTATTTGTAACCACCTTTCCATGCCCTCCCTCACTGTGGAAAGATTCATGATCATATTGAATGAAATCTTATTTCTGGGTTGTAATGTACAAATCAGATTTCAAAATTGCTTAAAAAGAGAAAGTATTGATGAAAACCAATGCAGTTGGTGAATACCATTTACCCGCTGGTGGAGTAAATGAAAGACGCTATAAAATCCGAGTATGTGAGAGGTAGGCATGCGAGAGAAGGGAAGATGCATGTTTGGAGGTCTCCGAACATTTAACTAAGTCTCGAGCTCACAAAAACCCTGCAATAACCGGTCATAGCTGCTAATAAAAATGTGACAGACCTTTGTCTCATTGGTATTGAGCTAGAAATCAAGGTAAATATGTTTAGATGCACCAAAATAGAGAACTACCAAGTATTAGTGAGTTAACAGCCCTGAAACATCTGGAGAGACTATAAGTTACCACAAAAAGAAAAAGCTGCAGCAAAAACTTCTCAAATAGGCTATTAATCAGTTAAAAGCACAATAAATACTACCAACAATTGCCTCATCAACTCAATTTTCTTCAGAGTATTAAAGCCAAGTAAAGCCTGCATTTGCATCCTTCCAACATCCATCTTGAAACCTATCAACCCATTATGAGTAAGAGATCTACAAAAAAAGTAAATTTGAATAAACAAAGAAAAAATTAATCTTACATGTACATAGATAATATAAAGATACGATCCTCTCCAACAAATAGTTGGAACCAATATCAATCCCCAAAAGCAATTAAGCAGAACCTACATGCTCTATCAATATGAGATTCAACAACTTTGAAATTCATTTGGACTATTGAAATAAAAATCCAATACAAGAAGATAATTCACAAGTAAATTCAATGAGGAAAAAACAAATGGAAGCTTACCTGAATCTGCAAGAAATCAAAACAAAATTGATTGTTGACATAAAATTTAGAAGAAAAAATCAAATGAAGTAAGGGGATCGAGAGATTTAACCAGAGAAGATTACCAGGCCTACACAAAATAAACATGAGTTATTGCAAATCCAATATCCTCAATAAGACATATCAAAATAGGAAAACAATCATAATCTGAAAATACAATACCAGAAACTTTTCTGTGTGACATACAATTGACAAATGACATTTCAGCCGCATAAACACATATCCAAAAATATGATTAATGAGAATCGAAAGGAAATAGAAATCATGTCACCAAAAAACTGAAGAAATATGGTATAGGAAGAAGGGGGTGAAAATACCGGAAGGTGTATTCAAATTAATGCGTAGTAGAACAGATGGAGAACAGAGTGAAACTGGTGCAGAAATCAGAATCAACCCTAAGTCTGGATATCCATTGCAGCAGCTCATACGCCATCCAAACTCCTAAGCCTTTGCCGTCGGAAAAGGATTATCTGCCGCACGGCAGAGTCCTAGGCGCCTATTCAACGGAAAAGAAGTGAGCAGCAGCGAACGAGAGTAAACAGGAGCAAGAGTCGCGGTTAATTTACTTTGCGCTAAACCGAGGCTTCCGTCGAGCACTGTTTTAATGGATTTAATGGAAAGAGACTTACCGGGCAAACTGAAGGAGGCGAGATCAAATAACAGCGTAGGAGTAAGACCAGATAGAATATCTGTGCGGTCCAGAGAGCAGGGGCGCCAGAGGGATTTACATCACGCGAAACCAAGCGGGAGATATTTTCAGTTGGTGAGCAGCAGCTAAGGGAAATCAGACGGGCGTTAACTGAGGGAAAGCAACGCTCGACCTGTAGCAACGGAATAAGCACGACGAGTAACTGTCTTCCACGGTTTAGAAGAATAGGGGATACTTTTGTAGTCGTTATTTAAATTATACTTTCAATAATCAATATATAAGAGAATTTTTTAAAGAACATATAGTGTGCCACATAATTCTGCCATGTCATCATATATGACAATTATTTAATTACTTTTTATACCTTTTAATTATTATTACATTCTACTTTTATTGTATATTGATATGGAAACAAAAGACTGTAGGATAGAGTCCACCTTATTTGATAACTTTTTAAGATCATATTACTTACTCTATATTAATTTGGATAGTCATTAAATTAAGCAATTGGAACCACAACAATAAACAATCATCTGTACACATAGACTATGTTTTATATCAATTATTTAATTATTTTTTATACATTTTATTACATTCTATTGAAAAATGAATTATCTTGTGTTTTGCCCACCTAACGGATAAATCATCCAAATTCCTATTAATTTTGTTCTTCAAAGTTATTTTATGAAAATAATAAAAGTAATAATAGTGTTCCATTTCTTAAAATGTAATATTTTATTTTTCTAAACTCAATCTTTTTTTTGAATGTTTTCTAAACTCAATGCGATATTTACTAAAATTATAAGTCTTAGATTTGCAATTGTGTTAATACTTCGTGTTTTGTTGCATCTTCATACCATTCTTTCTTAGTTGTTGAGATAGAGTTGGAAATTATAACCACAAGATTTTTCAACTTAAAAATGAAATTGATATACTTTTTTTTTTTTTTTTTTAACTACTAAGGGAAATTTTATTAATGAAGAAAAAGGAGTACAATGCGAAAAAGAAAGTAGGAGAAATGAAAAAACAAAGAGAAAAGGAAAATGAAGGAAGGTGAAATCTAATCTAAGCCCAAGGAAAATTCTTAGTTTGTGATCTAGTCCGCATGTTATGTCTCCGTTTATTCTTCTGGGATTTGCGGTAGATTTTAAGTTGCGTATTGAGATTTTCCGTTGGCAAGCAAGTGTCCTGTGTGATAAACTGTGATCTGAAGCAAATCTCTTTGTTGAAGGTTGAGTCTCGAATGTCGTCCCGATTGGAAATTGGTGGCCGACGATCACTTTCGGTTGCATGCCCTAGGAAGTCATCAGAGAAGCATGACTCATCTGATGGATTAAAACTGTCTGAGGCATCTGAGTAAGTCTGTGTCAGTGATATCTTGGGATATATTTCTGAAGATCGAAACGGTTGTTTCTCCGTATAGGCTCTCTGAACCTCAAAATTAAATATAAGTTTGGAGATAGATGTAAGTTCCTCATTGTCTAAAGAGGTTTCTTGTTCCAAAATCAATGGTTCCTCCTGCATTACATTCGTTAGTCCCAGAAAATTAGAGAAGATGGCCAGAAAATCAAGTAGGCTTGATTTTTGTCGTCCGGTTGGAATAACAATGAAACTCCCTTTATCCTTGGCAATTTTCAAGTAGCAACCTGAATTATTGACTTCAGATGAAACAATGATATGACCAAATCTCCTTCTCTGCCTAGAATTAAAATCACTTCCTGATAGTTGACTAATGAAACGGATAATTTGGGGAGCTAAATCGAATCTAAAATTAATCTTGTGCAGCATCGATTTTTTGATTTCAAAAATAACAACTTCATTGTTACTGACTCCAAATTTAAAGAGTTTAGACTTAATTTTAATTGAGTCAAAACCCTCCTGTCCAAAGAAATGAAATTTATCGGAGTCCTTGGTGAGAGTTTCGGATGCTACCTGTCCATCATCTATTGAGATAAAATTTGGTCCCGGGACTGAGAGAATAGGTTCATCCGCATCTGGAGGACTGTATGGGATGATTTGGTATTTTTTGTCTTTATCACTTTTAAGCAGGTCAGCCCATGTGAAGGTGGGATGGTCATCTTTTTTACTGTTCCCGGGTACCCGACCATGGCGAGATGAGGTGTGCAGAGGACCCACCGCTTCTGGTTGGGTTCCATCGTCCCTATTGGCCGCTAAACACTCCGGTGTAGGAGGTTCCGGCGTGGAGGTCGCTGCTCGTCTTGTCTGACTTCCGCCCACTTCCAAAGAGACCCGTTTATCGGCCCCAAGGACTGCCATGTTCACTACTTTGCCGTCCAAGAGTTCCGGCTGGTCCATCGAGCCGTTGCTACCGAATCTGATTACCTTCGTAGGGGCAATGATATCTGGATGGGTTTTCGAGTGGATTTTTGTCGTCCTTAAGCGAGCTCTGGAAAATCGGTTAAAATGATTTCCGTTTCCTCTGTTTCTTTGAGGATGACCGAAAGGGGGGCTAGGGTAAAAATCAATTTGTTCAATCGTTGTGGTGAAGGGTTCGTCAGTCATATCTAAAAGCGAGGTATACCGATTGTGATGGGCCACCGACATGTTGTTTTCTGCAAGGATGACCGATTGATTCGAGGTTTGGTGGTTGAACTGGGGAGAAGGTCTCCGTCTGTTGCAGACTGTGCGCCAAGCTCCGTCGCTATCCCCAGTGGTGACTCGGAGGGCGTCGTTAGGCTTGGGTCGGTGTTGTGTATGACGTCGATCGGTCGGGCCCTGGTTCCTCGCCGGCCGTACTCTCGGAGGTGGCTTTCTGAGCCTTTCATGCTTGTAAAGGTGTCTCTTGGTGTTATGTTTGGTGAAGCTCTTCTCTACCGCAGTAGAAAATCTGGGTGTGTAGCTTCGTTTCTGCGGGAATTGAAATTCCCAGTACATGTCGTGTGAAACCTGGGGGCTAAGATACCGATTTTGATAGTCATGGTAAGGGATGTATCTGCGAAATGAGAGCTCCCTGTTGCTATCGTTGTAGCGTGGGTAGTGCCTGCAATTGCAGTGATGCTTGGCGTAGGCGTTGGTGTTCCGCCGGTATGGGTGGCAGAACTCGCCGTACATGCCTTAGAAGTTAGTAGCCAGATGAGAGTTTCTCTCTCCTCATACTCAGAGAATCCCAACCTCACTCGTTTTCTTCCTTGAGTATTGAAGAAATTGATATACTATTAGACGTTCATGTAGGAAAACATTTAAAACTTCTGATCAAGTAGCTTACCTTTATTAATTAGGATGAAAGTTCATATCATACATATAAATGTATATATTTTCACAAGTAAATACGTTTAACCCAGCCAAAAAAGTAAATATGTTTAGTTGTTTCTTTATTTTTACAACTACAATTTAAATGTTCTTTCACTTTTGAAGTAGATTTCTAATCCAAATTAGGAAATCTTCATACATTTAGGATGTTTTTAATTGGACCGATTTCAGTCTCAGACAAGATCAGATCAAACATCAATCATAATAATAATATAATAAAAATCACAATAATTATAATAATAATTATTATTATACATACATAAAATAGACATCTTCCACACTGTATTACTTCAGACTAAATTAGAACCGAAAATGTCATTCTAATTAAAAATATCCTTATTATTGACGGTTTCAGTGTGACGAAATAAATGAGTAATTGTAAAAATGATCCTTTTTTTTTACATTTTCAATGTAACGAAATAATGAGTAAAATATAAGATCTCACTAATAAAATTTACCAAAACTTATTTCATACCATGTTGAATGAAAAATAATTTAAAAAATAGTGTTTTGAGATGCTTAATGAAGTAATATAAAGGATGTGAAATTAATTAAGAAACTTTTGTTTGAATTCTTTCAAATCGGGTTCATAACAATTATGTTTAGTTGAGATGCTTATGTAGAAGTCCATTTTAAATATTTTTCATATAAATTTTAATTTATTTTATTAATTATATATGTAATACATAGTATATTGTATTTTGCTTTTTCATAATTTGGGAGATTCCGTCAATTTAGCCCAATAAGTTAGATTTAATTCATTGCAGTAAAATCAGACAATTCGACCAGTTTTAGTATTATCAAACGGATTTATATTAGACTAGGTTTATTTTGTTTTTGCATCAAATTAAATTATATATGATTCTGAAAATATCAAATTAACAATTAGCTAAATTATGTATTGTCCATAGGCTTGCAAACTAGTAAGAGAGATATTAATAAAACATACCGCTAACAAAGCCATAAGGAGAGTTTTAGAGAAATAGGAAATTTTTCATGATATTATATTTATTGTAATGACAATTTCTATCATTCGAACCCTAATTAGGAGATTATTTATTGACCTTTCAAACTTTTAATTTTAATAGACAACGAATCCATATTTCCGATCATGAATTGTACCTAAACTTTGCCAATAAAGTACATGCATATGTGTAGTAATTGGAATAAAATTTTGGTTATATAATTTTGTACATGAATAAAAAAAATCAAAATTCATGAAATAAAGTACATGAATTAAAATATTCAATTTAAGGTCTCTTGGTTATTACATGATATGTAATACGGAGTGTTGAGGTTTATTCCCGAAGATCCGAAAGCCCAACACAAGCCTTGGATATTGTAGGGATATTGGGTAGGGTTGATTGAAATGTGTGTAAAATATAAAATAGTGAAATGATATCCAACTCAAGAACTTACTTATATTTTGTAATTAAGCAATTACACTGAAACTACCCGAACGGTAGATGAATATGAGATTACAAGGATGGGAGATGCAAATCTATTGCTAAGCTCTGAGTATTAAAATGCTAACCCTTTACAATGATCTAAACATGGGTATTTATACTAAAATGGGGATGGGTAAGGTGGACACGTGGTCGAATCTGGTAGGCTATCACCTCTGCCATGTAAGCACCCATGCCCCCACTTGTTGCCGCCATGATCCAGCATTAAATGCGGCCTCCACTTGCTGATTTCCCGTTCGGTCAAGGTGTTCGGTGTGTGGGACCCCGCCATAGGTGATAATTTCTACCTGAAGTATCCCGAACGCCGATCGATATTTGGGCCTTGATACCTTGGCATAATCGTTACCCAGAATGTTCCAAGTATAAGTTTTATCCCGAATGCCGTTCGGGAGTTCTTTGGGCTTGCTGCTTCTTCCCGGATTTGGGCCTAGGGATATTGGGCCTGGACCCAATATCCCAACACTAGTCCCCCACTTCCTATGTCTCGAACG